AGATCTTGTCACAGTTCTCACCGCGACATCCCGACGGCCAGACGAGGTCGCCCCAGAAGTGCCCGGTGACGGACTTGAACCAGGGTACTTTGCAGTCCTGGGGCTGCTATTTTGCCTCTGAGCCACCATATCAGCTCGAGAGATAGCCAGAAGTCTATCTTGCCTTGTACCCAGCACTGGGGGCTGGACGTTATTCTGTAGCTGCTCCAACGATCTCAGCACACCTGTGGCTGATCACCAATTAGCCAGGTATAAGACACTGCCTCTCCCTGAGGGCAGTGTCAGTTCATTGACTCTGGTTCCCTTGTTTGGTTCCTGTCTTGCTATATCTGCGTTCCAGTATTTCCTGTCTGATTCCGGCTTCTGACCTTGGCTTTCCTCCTGACACATCCCGGCCAATCTCCAGCAGACCCTCCCTCCCAGCCCCTCCCACTTCCTGGACAGCATCCATATTGAAGGCAGCAGAACGGTTCGCGACATTTCTAGTTGGGATATGTTATAGACCACCTAATGTTAATAAATTGACGAGGAACAACAGCTGTTTGAGCAAATTGAGAAAGCTGCAAATCTGGGTAACACTTTAATTATTGGAGATTTTAATTACCCGGAATAAATTGGGACAGAGGGACTAGTAGCTCAGCAAATCAGGAATTAGGTTTTTAAACTTGTTAAATAACACCTTCATGTCACAACTTGTACAAACACCAAGAAGAAAGGATGCTTGTCTGGACCTGGTTTTAACAAACAACATTGATCTTTTGACCAACATTCAAGTAGGTGAGCACTTGGGACATAGTGATCACAATATAGTGTCCTTGAAATGAACTAAAAAAAAACAAAAGCACATGGGTTATACTAAAACATATAATTTTAAAAAGGCCAATTTCTATAAGTTAAGGGCAGCTTTACAATATATTGACTGGCATAAACTATTTAGTGAAAAGAACACTGAGGATAAATGGAACATCTTCCAACAAATAATAGAAAGGTACATTTCTCAGTATGTACCATTGGGTAATAAATATAAAAGAAACAATGTGGCTTAGTAGAGAAGTAAAACAAGAGATTAAAAATAAGAAAAGGGCATTTAAATCGCACAAATCAGATGCATCTTATAAAAGATATATAATGCCAATAATGCGTGCAAAAAGGCGATTAGATTTGCTAAACGTCAAAATGGAAAAAATGATAGCTAAAGAGAGCAAAACCAACCCCAAAGCATTTTTTAAGTACATAAATTCTAAAAAAACTAAAAATGAAAGTGTAGTTACACTAAAAACTGAAACGCAGGTGTTAGTTAATGAAGACCCGGAAAAGACAGGAATTTTAACTATTTCTCCTCTGTATATATTAAGGAAATACCCATGGCAATAGATGTTCAAATGATTGCTACTAAAAACTTGCAGAATAATTGTAATTAGTTAACTCAAGACAAGGTGCTGCAGCAACTACAGAAAGTTAATATAAACAAAGCTCCAGGGCCTGACGGCATCCACCCATGAGTACTTAAGGAACTAAGTGTAGAAATAAGTGAACCTCTGTTTTTAATCTTTCAATATTCTTTTCTTTCAGGAAGTGTTCTGGAGGATTGGAGGAAGGCAGATGTGGTTCCTATATTCAAAAAGGGTTCAAAATCCTTGCCTGGAAATTATAGACCTGTGAGCTTAACTTCTGTGGCTGGGAAAATTTTTGAAAAGTTATTAAGGGATAACATTCAAGAAATCCTTGATAAGAACATGGTTATCAGCATACATCAGCATGGTTTTATGAAGCACAGGTCATGTCAAATTAACTTGATTGCGTTCTACGAAGAAGTAAGTAGAAATATAGATCAGGGTGTTGCAGTGGATGTGATCTATTTGGATTTTGCCAAGGCATTTGATACAGTTCCACACAATAGATTAGTGTTAAAATAGAGTAAAAACAGAGTACAACGAGTTGTTGTTAATGGTACATTTTCAAGCTGGACAGAGGTGGCAAGTGGTGTCCCTCAGGGATCTGTTCTGGGACCCCTTCTATTTAACATGTTTATAAATGATATTGAAGAAAGCATTGAAAGTCATGTTTCAGTGTTTGCAGATGACACAAAACTCTGTAAAATAATACAATGTGAGCAAGATATTACTTTGTTGCAGAGGGATTTAGATAGACTGGGGGACTGGGCACTCAAATGACAGATGAAATTTAATGTTGGAAAATGCACTTATGGCGTAAAGAATACACAAGCAACGTATACCCTTAATGGAAACGAAAAGGACTTGGGAATTATTATAGACAACAAACTATGCAACAATGTGCAATGTCAATCAGCTGTGGTCAAGGCCAGTAAGGTATTGTCATGCATGAAAAAGGGCATTTATTATCGAGATTAGAATATAATTGTGCCTCTTTATAAATCACTGGTAAGACCACATATTGAATATACTGTGCAATTTTGGGCACCTGTTCTAAAGAAGGATATTATGGCAATAGAAAAAGTGCAGAGGTGGGCTACAAAATTAATAAAAGGAATGGAACATATCAGCTATGAAGAAAGGTTAACAAATTTAAATCCTATTTAGTTTAGAAAAACGTCGCCTGAGAGGGGATATGATAATATTCGGGGCCAATACTAACCATTGTGTGGAAATCTATTCACAAACCGGACTTTACACAGGACCCAATGTCATGCATTTAGACTGGAAGAAAGAAGATTTCATCTAAGGCAAAGGAAAGGTTTTTTTTACTGTAAGAACAATAAGGATGTGAAATTCTCTGCCTGAAGAAGTGGTTGGTTTTATCAGAGTTCATACAGATGTTCAAACAGCTACTTGATGCATACTTGCAAAAACAGAATATTCAAGGATATAATCTTTCAATGAAGGGTAATAAATGCTTGATCCAAGGATAAATCTGACTGCCATTCTGGGGTCAAGAAGGATTTTTTTTCGTAGCTTGTTGCAAAATTGTGCTTCAAACTGGTTTTTTTTTTGCCTTCTTTTGTATCAACATCAAAAAAAAAAATGTGAGGAAGGCTGAACTTGATGGACGCAAGTCTCTTTTCAGCTATGTAAGTATGTAACTATGTAAGTTACAATTAAAGTCCTCAATGCAATCCTGCAAAATATTCTTGAAGAAATTAAAAAATAAATTCTCTCAAATGCACGAGAAGTGAAATAAAAAGCTAGACTGAAGATC